CTTCATGGTTCTCTTTCTTTCTTTTTTTGGTGGGGGGGAAGGGGAATTGATAGACCCTTACACCTGGTAACGTATTCTGGATTGTCTCTCATCTTATAAACATTTCGAATAGAAGAAAGAACACTTTGGTTAAGTTGTTTGCACTACTGCTTCACATTTTGGAGGCCTTGGATTCGAATCTTCACACAGAAACCAGCTACAACAAATTATGTTTTTGTTTTCCCCTAACTCCCGTCAAACGATTGCACGGATAGTACTTCAGATTAAGCCGTAACGGCTTCCCTTCACGTCCTTTCTAAATTCACATTAGCTGATCATCGGCAGCTGAGAGGCGTAGAGTGACCTCAAATAAACCTAAAAATCTAATAAACATATATTTACGGTTGTCAGTTGTCATCAGTAAATGTGTAGTTCATGTATCTACCGCCCTGGACCAGAGAAGCTCACATTAGCTGGTCAATAAATTCTCGACGTTTTATGGGACTCCCAAGGTTCCTAACCGCATTCACAAAACCTGCCTTTCTGTCCCATCGTGAATCGGCTGAAATCTCAATTTTTTAAAATCGACTTCGGTACTGTCATCTTCTGCGCGTAGATCCCCCGAATTGTCTTTTCCTGTAAGATCTTATGATTAAAATATCTGTAGACATTTCTCCTGTCTCTCGAGTTGCAGTACATTCCATTCTAAGAAAACTAAAGCGAAACGGTAACTTTAGCTAAACGTATAATATTTTCATATAGATACAACGCATACACTCCCTCTCATGGAATGCGTAACTAAAGCAATGTGAATATCTTTTTGTTTTACGAAGCTTGGCTTGTGTCTGTTTTGCAGTGTCTCTGTGATAGCGCGCCACTGTTTCCAATCCGATGCCAGGGCAACACAAATCTGCTTGTACAGTGATGACACGATGCATTTCCGATGATTTGTCGTCTCGTGACTCTAATGACACGTCTACTCAAATTATTTTATAGTTTAAATTTGCTTAATGCCAGGAAATGTACACTTGTTTGCCCATGTCTGTCACTCCACACAAATGTATGGCGTGCACTGTAGTTGAGTTCATTCATTGCTTCTCACGTAGTCCGTATTAAATATCGAGAGACGCGGTTCCTTCCCGAATGCCTCACCTCCACAGGCTCTGGCTTGGCATAATCAATATAACAAGGTGTAGAGGAAATGCCATTACTTAACCCAATCCTGTAGATTGCGGCCTATGTTACACTATGTGCAAGACTGTAAATTAATGTTTATTAGTAATTAAATGACAATTCATCTTGAAACATCGCGGTCATTGTCTGAAGTTGAATTGAATACATTTATTTATTTCCTGCTCTGTACATCCGTGCATGTTATCGGTTGACCTGCAGGTCTTTTTTTTAGCAGCCAGATTCACAGTTTTACAATATAATCACTGATAAAATATTCATATCCGTTAATTATATTTATTTGTCTCATATTTCCCTATCCCTTTACGTTTAGAACGTCTCCACTGCGCTCCCTCTTGCCTACATTATCTTAAAATTCTCTGCACTATTTTTCGACAGTTCTTTGTTCCTGTTTACCGAAGTCTTCATCATAAGTATCTCATTACCGAAATATCTCGTTTGGTTTTAAATATATTTTCTTCATAACTAGGTTTCAGAACATTTTAATATTATGCATACAGGAACTTATTCACTGTCTTGTGTCAGATACTTCACTCTTTCGGTTATAGGCTCATAAACAATTGAATCAATTTTGATCATGTTATTCATCAATAACGTACTGTGTTTATTTTATTTGTACACACCTGACGATTTTCAGCTAGACTAAAACATAACGTGTTTGCTAAAATAAACTGATTGACTTATTACTGTATTTGATTCAATCTTTATTGTGCACTAATTAAAAAGGCCATCTTTGTTGTGTGACAGTGCAAAAACCGTAGAATTTGCATACACAGCAGGATGCATAGTATATAAAAATATTTCGCATTGGCTAAATCATTGCATGTTTGTCTTAAATCTTCACGATCTTATGCAGAAAAATACAAGTTGTTATATTACTTTAAAATATAGACATTTTCATTTTAAATTCATTCTCTTCTTACGGTAGTAACATTTTAGCTGCATTTCTGTCCTTGACTAGAGAAGTGATAGCTTCTCAAGCAGCTACTTCAACTGGTTTTACCAACATATTGTCGCGTGTTTGCTAGGCAACGCGACAAGAAATTTTGTGGGTTCTCGGATTTGAACGAATATCTTTGTTGGACAGTCACTTGTACACTCGCACTTACAATTACTCACTTACGTCTCTTCTCCAATGCTACAACACTCTTGCGCCGCTATTTTTGTGAAGTGCCTTCTGCTCGGAGCGCAGCTGTTCTTGATTCCTTGTCGGATAAGAACTCTTCTGTTCTAAGGTCAAATACAAACTGAATTCGTCTCTGGCCGACTTGCTCTCGGACTGAATAGGGAACACCTTGTTGAAGAGTTAACCTCGCCCGCTGCTATCGAACGCTGCTTCAAAAAATTTGTTGTTTGGATATTGCTAGCCGTTGGATAGCAATGGATGCTTTCCGATTCCTGGACGTTGTAGCGGGAACGGTGGTCGTTGCCTAGAAAATCAACCCCGATCTCCTAAACTATTCCTGTTTTCTCGCAGCATGCCACAATATGTATATATACAGGAGTATACATATTTCTTGTATAATTCATATATGTCCCTAGTATGATTATAAATCCTTATAGTGGAAATATTTGAAGAAAATATGCCTTGTAAGATACTCCCCAGAAGTTCTTGTTACGCCTTGGGGTTTGCTTCCGAACATTACCACGAGAAGTCCCAAGTGTGTTTATGCTATTACGTCATATTTTACCCATTGTAAATATCATTAAAAATTCTGTCCACGTCTTCATTCATATGCGTAACGTTAAACCTTGTTCCGAGTGCAGATTAAAACTTACGCAAGTATAATTTTTTATTTATCTTACTACATACACGACTATCATGCGTACTACGCATTCATTTCCCTGACGTTCAGGGTTACGTGTTATAATGCTGTTTGCGTTTTTAAGAATGGCGACATTTCAATATGCTTAAAATATTACATAGACTTCTGAGCCACTTCCCTCCACTTACCATCTTCACAACCAGTCCCCTCAAGAACCAAGTTAAAATCATTAATCCATTTGCTTGTTAGTCCAAGTGGACATATTTCAATATATTTCCCAAATCGAAGTATTATCATAAGTATCAATATAATGACAGATACACATGCTGCAGCAAGCACGTCATGTTGAGACTGAGTAGTTAGAGAAGGTGGAGCTCTAAATATTTGATTTCTCTTCTAAAATGACGAAACGAAACAAACCCTTCTAGGTCAGAAGGCAATGGCTGCAATGGGCAGGATAGCGTCAATAAAAACTCAGGTTCCTTGTTCTTCTGCGTGAAATTATTATGTATATTGAGGGCTACTTCAGGCTTCAATGCTTGAACCAAGTTCGGATATTATTAACTCATGTTCTTTTTTGGATATTTAACACATATACAATTACATGTAACTAAAATTCAATGTACCTTATGAAATAATCATCGAAAGTCGAAATTTTATATGTTAAGTTGTGGATTCTTAAGTGAAACCCAGTGAACATCTCTTAAGTCGGACATGAATTTAATGATCTCTAATCCAGCAGTGTAAGGCAGAGGTTTCAGCAGAATTTAAGACTTTATAGCAAATTGTTCTATTTACTTTGTTACACATTTTACAGTCATTGCAGATCGCATCACGAGGGATATGTGCGTTTATTTGAGACTCTCCTATCAACTTCCCAGCATGTTCGGTTCTTCTCCAAAGAAAGTGTCAGACGACCTAATTATAGCTGTATACACTGTGAGATTCCGTGTACAGGAAAATCGCTAGCACATTTGTATTGGATTAGATTCAGATTTAGTTGTTCCTTACTCATAATTGCTTTTGATCTTAATACTCTAAGGGTAAGCGGAGAGAGCGTGAAGCTCACGATCTACCTTGTCTCAGTAAATTTGATTAAACGTAGAATCAGTCAGGCAATTACACATACATACATACACACTGACTAACGGGTATAGAAATTCAGCCTTTTTATTCCATTCCATAATCTCTAAATGAAATAAATACAAGCATTACAATTGAGCAACAGTCTCTGCTGACCCAGAGCATGTTCAATTGCTTCCCTCAAGGACTCCGTGACTTAAATGAATAATGGAATATCGCTTGAGGAGTGGGGGCCGCAAAACTGTTCAGTCAGTTAATCATCAATAATGCGAATGAAATGGCTCTCTGCCCCACAAAAGCCAGAAGTCTGATTCGCCTTTTCATCGCCTAACGACCGGATTCCTGAATGGAAGGAACCGGAACTTCCGGCGGGAGGGGGCCACAGAACTAGTGAGGTTGGTGCTACGCCTTCCTGGCCCCGCTCTATAGAACTGCAGTTAATATGTTTGAGTAGAAATGTAGTAGTTTCAGCTTGCTCCAGTTTATTACTTCTATGCTTTTTCAGCAGGGAAATTGAACATTCGGTGCACATGGATAAAGTAGGATATTGTACACAATGTACAATTTGCACCACCCTTTTCTAAGTTTTTTTTTTCATTTCATTTGAGCACAGAAAATTATGACGTGCCCTAGGGTATTATTTGCTTTCGTGACATGCGCATTAACAGTACATTTTTCAGATAATGAAAGGTCCCACATGTAAAACAGTGATCAGAAGTATGTCGTTTCGCCATATTAGCATGTTCATCATGTGCCAGCCTCGATGTATTGGCAAGTTGAACAACAGTGAGACTGAACTAATTGCTTCAGGTTGCCAAGGTCAGTACTCTTCAGGTCATATTAGGGAATACTTGTTAATATTGAATTATATTTGTTTAAATATAGGACATTTAATATTTTAAATATAATGCTGGATTGTGTGGGACAGGAAATTGTGGAAGGGCTAGATATGTTGTTAGGCCTTCAAATAAAATTCTTTGATAAGTTTGCTAAAAATGTAAGTTCTTTATTTTTGAGGACTTAAATATAATTCCAGAAATAAAACATGACAAATTTGTTATTTTTATAACATGGATGTAAAATATCTAGTTTTGTTGGTTTTCAGGAATAATTTATTTTGGAATTTCAATAGTTGCGTGTGTATAATATATTTTTTCTTTCCTCTTTGATTTTCCCGAATACATTTCTAGTATGGTTGTTTTTTAATCGTGTGTACTAAGTAGGTTGTAATGGAGTACAACAAATACCTTGTACATAATGATTTATCTGATAAGTAACCCATAAACAATCAAGTATTTTAGGTAGGAAATATTTCAAATCTGTCGATATAATGTATTTATACAGAAATAGAAAGCAAAAAAAAAAAGTACATGAATAGCAACTAGCACATTTCGTCAAAAATATATATTTATCATATAATTATAATGTTCACAACTAAACAAAATTGAGGCAATATATCTGTCATCTCTCCTTTGTCACAGTCTAACGCTGTGAAGGCGAGGCTTAAATTGTTTTAACATCACCTCGGTTATACCTTTGAATCTGTATATACGTGAATATGGGGCGGACAAGGAAAGGAGGTTGTTTCCTGAAAGGAAAAAGCTCTCACCAAGGACATGTTTTAAGGGATGGATGGGCAGGAAAGGGAGACATGAATACGGTGCTTCTTGGGGACATTTATTTTAGCTAAAACAAAAGTATCAGACAACAGACAAGTCAAGAACGAGAATCTTAACATAAAATATACATAAATCCACGTGATGGTGATTGCGTTTTATGATGTTCGTGTATTATATATAATTCGTGTCAGGTCGTTATCTAGATGTCATAAGAATAATAATACCATCAGCGTGACGTCCGTCATTGTCTATCGTCTGAACCACCTCTGACTAGTACATAAATATTTGTTTGTATTTCTTAGATTTGCCTCATATTCAAATTACACGAGCAAATCTGAGAAGTATAGTAAAAGGTTAGAGTGTTGGGGAGTTGTGGAAACGTTGCATACACATGTATATATTCTAACTTATGTATAATGGCGATTGAAAATAATTTCGCCAGTAGGTCTTATCTCTAATGTAATAATTAATAGTCATAAATTTGATATGTACACACATCCAGCCACGGTTACAATATGAAAGACCTTCATAATGGTATTCTTTATTATGTGTGTAGTGTGTTTTAGTTTTGTTTAGGATTCGCGCGCTTCTTCATCTACAAAACTTCACACACAAACTAGATACAGTATGTTAGTTAAAACGACAAAGACAAGAGATATAATTACTATAATGTGTGTATATATATATATTCTAAAAACATTGAGACTTGTGTATGTACAGATCTCATGAAGGGGAAAAGTAATTGCCACATGTTATGCGTCCAGGTGTATGGCCATATCATTTTTCTCTCATTGGAAATCATAACTCTGTGCCAATTTCTTCATTTCACTTAGCCGTTTTGTTCTTCTGAACTTTATCTAAAACAGTATTTTGTAACAGATCTGCAGAAAACAGGAAATAATATCTTTACTTTTCATGAACCGATGTTCTCTTTACTTGGTAATTTAAAGTCCACATACTAACGATATCTCCCAAGTCTTTAAATGCGAAACAGTGAAATCGTGATACAGTAAGATAAATATTAAATTAATATTGAAGGGTTCTCTCTATGGTTTCAATTATGTGGTACAAAATGCAGGCCGCACTGTTGATATGTATTATTTGGACGTCATTTTTATTTTATAACAAACACATTTATAGGCAAATAAGTTCATTTGTTTCAACCAATTCACTGAAAATTATGTCTGGACTATATTTTGAAACTTTATGTTGTATTAATGGCGCTTAAATATGAAAATAACAACTAGCTGCAGATATGGGCCTTGTATTACTCCAAAAAATTAAGTACCTACAAAAGATACATTAAATTAGTCGCATTTGCTATCAGTAATTACGTCAACTGATAATATAATTTTGAGACCTTATACAATAATCGAAACCATACAGTCCGTTACTACAAAAAATACTCTCTATAATTAGAACAATATTATGAATATATATCACAGTTTCTTTCGTAGTCCGCCTGAAGTATAGAATACACTTGCTAATTCAATAGGATAATAGTACTGTAATAAGATATTACTACCACAAAATTATAATCACTTTTATAACTTAAATTTTGCTCGGAGAGCCTAAACTTTTTAAGAGGCTCAAATTTAATTCAGTTACTGGTTCATACATGTCTTGTCATGTTAGCCTACTTATAGCCCCTAATTTAATTGAGAAATACGAGAACAATTTGAATTCATAAAGGTTTCAGCTCAGTATAAACCCCGTTGTAACTTTTTCTTAGTAACATTTACTTTCGTGGTTGTGTTAATTGTTACACGGGCAATGAATTCTCTCGGTTCAAGTTTTAGAGAGTAATACAATGTTTACAGTCCCACAAAAGTTAATTTATAAAGCCTAAATAGTCTTCTTTTCTATGTTTCATACAACATTTATACGTCCTATTACTTGTTAGCATGACACGTCATTAGTTGAAAGTGAGAAAGTTTCAGAGCAAATAACAGCGTCTGACTAGGTTTCCTTCCATCACCTTCTTTTAACTTCTGCGCATCCTTCACAAAGACTGATGAAAATATTAAGGAAACTATGTATTTTGCACATTTATTGACATCACACCAGCCCACAAAGAATTGTAATTAGCAAAAGCACAGGTTTCCCTCATTTTAATACTTATAAATTACGTGGGAACAGTTCCCTTCCAACACTTCTTTTAAATAATATATATACGTATATATTATACAACAACAAATATATTAATTATATTATTAATTTTTATATATCAATTCAATTTATATATTTATCGCGAAGTGGTGTTATCATTAAAAAGATGTCACTCTCTTCTTCGATACACGCATATGTTTGTTTATAAAAGAAAACAGAGATTAAGGAATTTTTTCTAATAATCTCCATCTACTTCACAGTCATCCGCTCATTTTAGGCCTGTTTTCCCGATCATGTAATTGGCGCGTAAGCAAGAAGTTTCGTAAATTATTCCATGTTTGTGTATAGTGATGGTAGTTTTGTTTCATGAAATGAATTTGTTCTCGTCACTGTGGAGGAAAGATTACCATGCGATCACAATATTGTAATTGTTTAATGATGGAGTCACAAAACTTGAATTAATGTAATATTGTACTGGTGCTGATAAGAGCTCATAACTTACATCATTATAAACCCACATGTCTTGCCCACTACATATCACACAACGTTGCGTTAAATTCTCTTCGTAAGTAATATCTACTGCAAAAGGTACATGAACTCCAATAGATATCTATGTCGACTATACAGATATTACACAATATCTTAGAAATGTTACGAAAATACACCGGAGAAAAGACGAAAATTATAAGCGACGTATTTGATTTGTAAATTACAAGATTGCGCCTAATTATATAATTTTACTATGACTATAAATTAATTCTAAACTTTCCTAGAAACGATTATCAGTGATACGTATTTCACGTTCCTAGGCCTAAACCATCTACAAATGTGCTACCGTGCCGACATTATATTTGAGTTGATTTCTGTAAAGACCTTCAGTAGGTAAGTGGTATCTTGAAGAAGGAGCTGGATGCTTGATTTATCTCTTACCTATTGGGCTTTCATGAGTAAGAAGAATGTTTTTGTCTGAATGCTCGGCCAGCCACTGTGAGGAGGAGGTATCTCTTCTGCGAAAGCAGAAACAATGCTCACTCATACACATTTTTAAAATTATAAAGTATTATTTAGAAAGCGAAAATAATACAGACGAGCCAAGAGATATGGACTTTCTGTTTTTCTTCAGCCATATGAAAATGCCTCTAGGATGCTCAGTTATGGAAAGAGGAAATTTCAATTGCATATGAAAAGCACAGTAACGGGCTTCCAATGTATGCACTTAAAGCTTACATCATTTATTATTTAGTGAATATTCTCCGAAAATATGGAAATAAGATATTGGATTATTATTTTATTTGTGTTATTCTCGTTCTAACACACTCAACCGTCGGCATGGTATAGATAGATTATCAGGCAATAAGTCTGTGTTACAAATACACATACTGTTTTCAATATATTCTATCAAATATTAAAATCCTGTACCACAAACTGAATACCTTAAATGTAAGTTCTTATTAAATTAAGACCATTAAAGAGATAATGACTTCTTTATGTGTTCATCTGATAGCTGTATTCCTACAACCTACTTAAACACACATCTGAATACGTTAAAAGACTGACAAGTGATGAGTTGGTTGTTGATTAATACATAAATTATATGAATTCTGTTACATTAATTAACATTGATTAGTTACATTATTTGAACTTGAAATATGTTTTTCTTCATATTTGTTGGTCGGTTGCTGATAAAGAGGACTTAAAATCATCTCTGTGATACATGAAGGAAATGGTGTAGGGGGGCACATAGGTATGTTGGCCACACACAACCGTCTAGCCCACATCATCTGTTCAAGTAGAAAGTGTTGTTATTTATTTCACTTGTGTACAATTTTAGTCAAGTGAATTTGTTTTATAAACAAACAGACTGATTCTCTACTGTGCGCAGCAAAACTGAATCTCTAGAAGGGTACTAATAATGAAGTTAGTGTAAGGAAATGCATTCCACAGCATCTGAAAGGGTTGATTTGGAGAAAAATTTCTTTTGAGACAGAGAGAATGTAGAAAAGTTGTTTATTTACGATCCCGCGAAAAGTTGTAAGATCGATGACAGTAGTGTAGTGATCACGGTCGGACAGGAAACAAAGCACGCAATCACTAGTCCGTGGAAACGATCATTATCATGAAAGCAAACTATCAGTCAAATAACAAAACTACAGAGTTGTAAAATAAAATTTTGAGTTAACATTATTTTCTGATCCAGCGACATTTTCCATAACTTTAATACAAATGATCCTAATTCTGTAGTGACTGGCAAAATACAACTTAACAAAATCTGTAGGAATTAATAGGGAAGTAATATTGCTACTTCCACCCATTTAACTTATTTTTAGAGTAAAAAACAAATAAAACAAAGTTAAATCCATGAAATGCAGCAATACGCAAATAATTTGATAGGCATGTCTGATATATATAATGGGTTGTGTTTAGAACTGTATTGTTAATGATATGTCTTACTGCATTAATTGACATTAATATGTCTTATCCATGAATACTGAAGTCGGTGGACAGCTAGACGACAGAGAGATATCAGACTGGCTACAGAAGTCAATTCAGGCTTATGAAACAAAGAGGAGTGGACATGTAACGGAGCAAGGAAGGAAGTGAAGTAATGACGTTGCGTTTCTTTCCGAACAGGAAGAGTGAAGGGCAAGGGGGTTCAGTCCAGGAAGCCGGTGTTCACCAGTTTCTCAAGGAAGAATTTGACGTCACCCAGTTCGGAGTCCTTGATGCCTAGACTCTTGAGCATCCCCAGGTCTCCGTTTTCTACTGCCATGAAGACGGAACGCAAATGTTCCAAATCGGAACGCATCAAATGCAGTGCCGCTCCAAAGTCTTCGATGGTCTGAGATTCTGGAAAAAGAGGCAAAATCAAATCTTCAGTAAACACAAAAAAAAAAAAAAAAGCCCCAAGTTTCCATAGATAAAATATATGCTTCATATATTTGGGTAGCTTGTTAACAGATGATGGAAGGTGTACGTGTGAAATTAAATCTAGGATTGCCATGGAAAAAGCTGCATTTAGCAAGAAGAAGAATCTTTTTACCAGCAAATTGGACTTAAATTTGAGAAAGAAACTAGTGAAATGCTACATTTGGAGCATCGCTTTGTATGGGGCTGAAACTTGGACACTTAGGGCAGTAGATCAGAAACACCTGGAAAGCTTCGAAATGTGGGTTTGCACAAGGATGGAGAAGATAAGTTGGACCGATTATGTGAGAAATGAAGACGTGTTATTTAGAGACAGTGAGCAGAGGAATATCCTACACGAAATAAGAAAACGGAAGGCTAATTGGATTGGATTGGTCATATCTTACGCGGTAAATGCCTTCTAAAAGAAGTTATTGAAGGAAAGATAGAGGGGCGGATAGAAGTGACCAGAAGACGAGGACGAAGACGTAAGAAGATGCTGGATGACCTTGGGGACAGAAGAGGATATTTTCATTTGAAGGAGAAAGCTCTAGATCGCATCAAGAAGTGGAACTGTTTTGAAAGAGACTGTGGACCTGTCTCTTGACAGATTACTGATGAATGAATGAATGAATGAATATGAGAGATTCATATAAAACATTGTGATTGCCTTAAAATCACTGACAGTAATTTCTATACAGAGTCCAGAAATCCATTAACTCCGATAAACATTAACAGGCACATGTGTCTACTCTGGGGGAGAGTGATGTGTTATTCTGCAATTGTCCTGTTTCCTACTGTTATTAAAGTGAGTACTGAAACTATCGCTTGATGCAGGCCTCGATTATTTCTTTTGATCCTGACACTCTAATAGTTTTTTAAAATCGTCGTATCTGTTTCGTAGCGTTATAACTTCAGCAGTTGAAACGTTGATAAACAAGTAAACATTTTATACAATCTGAAGATTGCCTTCTCAAATGTTATATCATGTAGCCTGGTAGATGGCTACTAACGTTTAGAAAGTACCCCGATGATGGAGGCAGCAGGTTACTCCGAAATGTTAAATGCCAACCAGACTGCATGGCGTCACATCTTAGAAGAATGTAATGTTCATGGTTACTGCCGTGAGAACTTCTGATTTCACGTTCCACATGTTCTGGTCTCACTTACTGACCCATCTAGAATGCAATTTTAAAAATTTTATTAGAGTTGTCAACTGAATGCAGGACAAAGTTCTGCTAATAAAATGCCTAGTAAATATTTTGGAAATATAACCAAGTTCAGATATTTAGGAAAGTTACTAGCAAATCAAAATTACATTGCCAGCCAAACTAAGAACAAATTAAAATCACGGAATGCTCACCTACCATTCGTTTGGGAAAATTTCTCTCTTTCGTTTCCTAACTAACTTACTTACTTACTCACTCATGGAGCTGAGCCCTTCTGGAGGAGCCGCCAATTCTGCAGCTACTCAAGAATTTCCCAGCGTTTTATGGAACCCGAAGGTTCATTAACGTGTTCACAAGAGCCCTCCACTGATCTCTATCCTGAGCCAGATCAATCCAATCCATCCAATCCCATTATATCTCTCTAAGATCCATTTTAATATTGTCCACCCACCTACGCCTTGGTCTTCCCAGTGGTCTCTTTTCTTCTAACTTTCCCACCAATATCCTATACGCAGTCCTCGTCTCCCCAATTCGTGTTACATGCCCTGCACACCGCATCCTCCTTGACTTGATCATTCTAATTTTTGAGAAGAGTACAAGTTATGAAGCTTCTCATTATGCAGTTTTCTCCAACCTCCTGTCACTTCATCTCTCTTCGGTCCAAATATTCTCCTCAACACCCTGTTCTCAAACACCCTCAGTCTATGTTCCTCCCTTAATGTCAGAGACCAAGTTTCACACCCATACAGAACCACAGGCAAAATTATAGTTTTGTATATTCTAATTTTTATGTTTTTGGACAACAGACGAGAAGACAAAAGGTTCTGGACTGAATGGTAGCAAGCATTACCCGAGTTCAATCGCCTCTTAATTTCCTCCTGAATCAGGTTTCCATCTGTTATCGTTGTTCCCAAATATCTGAACTGTGCAACAATTACAAAACATCTGTTTCCTATCTTTATGTCATGATTTTGCCGTGCATTTTGTTGACGAGACAGTAACATATTCTTAGTTTTCTCAGTGTTTACTCCTAGACCAACCTCTTTACTTGCGTCAATTAAAGTTCGTGTGTTTTTCTTTATGATATCTACATTATCACCCAGTAGATTCACATCATCGGCGTAGACCAACAGCTGATGTGCCCCATATAATTTCAGTCCCATCTGGTTTCCCTGGACCTTCCTAATGACATATTCTAAAGCAAAGTTGAAAAGGAGTGGCGATAAAGCATCTCCTTGTTTTAGGCCATTCTGGATAGGAAATTTAAAAGAAAAATGTTTACCCACACGGACTTTACTATACGAGTACGTTTCGTTTAAACACATTTTCTTCAACCTACCTAGTTTCACGAGTATCCAAAACTCTATTAGAATATTGTACAATACTTCCCTCCTAACTGAATCATAGGCTATCTTGAAGTCTATGAATAGCTGATGTACTGTCTCATCGTACTCCCATTTTTTCTCCAATATCTGACGAATGCAAAAGATCTGATCTATGGTTGATCTGTTACGTCGAAACCCACACTGATGATCCCCAATAATTTCATCTATATATGGACTTAACCTTGAAAGAAGAATAATGGATAAAATGTTATTATGAAGTTGATAGCAGTGATATCCCTACAGACAGTTTTATCACCCTTCTTGTGCATTGGTACAATAATAGACTCCTTCCACTGATCAGGAATTTTTTCCTTATGCCAAATAGAAGTAATTAGAATATTATATTTCAGCATCCTGTTACACTCACACAATATATATGGACAAATACCGTCTTAAGTGCAACAATTTTATTGTAGTTTTTACTTCTTTTTCCTCTTCCACACTACATGTTTCGGCCCTAAATGGCCATCATCAGGTGTGTATCACTCACGCAACTGTTACACTGCTTGTTAAAAATTTAAAAACACCAGTCTTTCCAATGGTATAAAATCTTTGTCAATCTACACGCGTCAATTTGATCTTTAAATTAGCACTTTTTAAACCCCAATTCAAGTTAAAATGTCTATAAGATCTTTGTTCTCTTTCTTTTTCAAATTTTTCAATTAAAGTTTTTCAGGGTACATGCCCTATATCTACGGTGCTGCAGCGGCCACTTCTTGTTTTTATCGCCGTTCATGTGTTGT